GGGACTCAGCACAGAAGCTCTTTCCAGAGCAACAGTCTATTGACAGGAAACCTGGCCTGACACCCTCCTCTGCAGCAGGGCCTTGACAGACTCTGCTGGAGGCTCTATCTGTACCCTTAATAGTCACAGGCAGCAGCTTTGCTCCCACCTCCCGAGCGAGGGGAGGTTCCTGCTGTAATCACAAGGGCTCACAGAGAGCTGTCAGACCCGTTCCTGTGCCACCTTCCCCTGCCAGCACCCCACACCATGCAGCAGTGCTGTGCCTTGCTTCTGCCTGCCTCTTGTGTGCTTGCTGCAGCCGGTTAATCTGAGCTGCTCTTGTCAGTGTGTGGTGTCATGGAGCAGGGCTGGAGGGAGCCTTCTGGGGCTGTCTCTCACGTGGCATGGCACATGTGCTGCATAGATTAACCCTGCTGTGTGAGGTCTCTTTTAGTGGGACAGTAGCAATTCCAGAGGATCTGTGTAAGATCCTTACCCCTGTTTCTGCACTGTTTCAAACAGCAGCAGCATCTGTTCCATTGAACCCTGAGAAAATGGGCTCCAAGAGCTGTTTATAACTCTGAGGGTGTCACCAGCAGGACAGAGCTGCCCAACTCTTGCTAACTTGTGTTCCTGCCTTGGTTTTGTTTCCTTCAGGCTGTGGAGAAGCTGGTGCAGGGAGCAGAGAGCGGCTGGCACACCGAGAAGGAGAGGCAGATCATCCTGAACTGCTGCCGGCTCCTTACCCGCATCCTGCCTTACATCTTCGAGGACCCAGACTGGAGAGGTTTCTTCTGGTCAACTGTCCCTGGGGCTGGCCGAGGAGGGGTCTGTCTCTTAGCACTTATTCTTCTTCCTGGAGACCCTATGTACACTTGGGGCAACTTTATTCCAGTTATTTCTATTTGGTCAGAAATCAGGTGGCACCTTCTGAGTTCTTTTCCTTCCTTTGATTCTTGTTGTCCTTTCTCACCCCCCTCAGCTGCTTTGTTTTGCAGAGGTTTCTGCATCATCTGAGTATTTCACTTGGCTGTGTAGCTGTAGGAGAGCAGTGGTATGTGAGGGAAGGCTTCTCCAGTGTAACTGAAGGTGTGAATTGAAATGAACACGAGAACAGTACTAAAGGCTGTATGACTTTCTTAAACTGAAATGACCTTGTTCTTTTAACTAAAGTTGATTTAAGATTCATGTCAAATTGAAACAGGGTGTAGTTTCCACTGAGCTTAAAATGTCACATTTAAAGCAAGTAGTGCCAGAGAAGCTCTCAGCATCATGACTCAATACTCTGTTATAAGCTGAGTGAAACAGTTATAACCAGGAATGCAGCCTCATAGGTGAAGCCCACAAGTGAATGGGTTAGGCTTCACCTAACTGAATGGTTAAAGAATTAGGTACTGTTCCTGGTTGTCAGTGATGTGTATAACCTCAGGGAAGGCTCTGAACCTCCCTATGTCTCTGTTTGGAGAGCAGGCACAATAGTGCTCTTCTGTGTCTCTGGGAGGAACAGAATGAAAGTGCTTTAGGATCTCCTGTAAGTAAGAGAAACGGTGTTGAAAACACAGCTGAGTTAGGCCAGGAATACACGTGCCTGTTTGCTCCCTCAGCAGCTGCCTCTCTGTGCACAGAGACCTCTCTCCTATGAGTTCCTGAACTTACAGGTCAGTGTGGCTGCACTGAGGAGTGTGGTTTCCCTGATGGCTCAGTGCCCTGCAGTGTCTTTGGGGACTGTTACAAAGGGTTGGCAGTGGTTGGTACAGAACAAACCTTGCACCTTGGGCTGTCTCTGCCTGTCACCTCTAATCTGTTTTGCCTGAGGCCACTTTAAGGGGAAGTTCTGGGTGGTGGAATGGGAAGTCTTTTCTAGCCCTGCTCTGTTGTGGGATCTGATTGGGAGGGTGGTGGTTGTCCATCCTTTCATCCCTGCAGGGGCCAAGGAGTGCTGTAGAGGCTGAACAATGGAGGAGCTTGGTTTGGGCCGGAACATGCGGGGTGCCTGGAGCTCTGATCCAGCCAGGCTGCTGTTACTACTGTTTCTCCACCTTGTTCAGCGCCTAGAAGAGAGAGTCAGCTTTATAGTGATCCAGCCCAGTGCATATGTGAACCCTCCTGCTGTGTTGTACCTTCTGAATGTCGAGGAGCTGTTGTGGTGCAGTGTGCTCCATCCTTTAACCATGTGCAGAAGCAGCTCTAAGGCTGGCTCAGCTGCCTGGCAGGGATAACAGAGATGTTAAGGGAGGCTGGAGCTGTATCTAATCTAGAGGCAACAGCTCTGCTGTCTGAAGGCTGATTTCGGGAACCAAAGGGGAAGATGATGGTTACATTAGTAAATGTCTCTGCAATTATCCTTCACCTGCTCCGTGGTGCAGTGATGGATGGTAGAGCTCCTGGAGCACAGGTGCCTCCCTTCTGTGAGGGAGTCTGTGCTGTGTGCTGGTCTATTGGTTTGGTGTGCATCACCATTTTGGATGTGGTGGTACCCAGAGCCTGCAGGGACTTTTATTTCAGCAGCCAAGGTCATCTTGGCAAAGACTGTTCTTGGAAGAGAAATCCTCTTGGACCCTAAAGCTTGTCACTTCATCTCTGCCTGAGAGCCCAAGGAAAAGCATCTTTGCTGTGCTGGCTTCATCCGTGCTCCTGGGTTTCTCCTTACATCCGGGCTCTGTTTGGCAGTAGTCTTCCTGCTGTTGCTGTGGCAGCCACACAGGTTGTTATCTCCCTTAGCTGCCTGCTGTGATTCAAGAGCTGTGTTGTGTGCAGGCTGACAGAGGCCTGGCTCAGGTAGATAAGCTCCCTCCATTCCCACTCCCTGCCTTTCCCTGCCGCACCAGTGTGTGGTGGGGAAGTTCTCCCATCCAGGATGCTCTTTGACAGGCAGGATCTGGGAAGGTTTCCCATGGCAACGGCTGCAGAGGAGTAGCCATGCATGAGTCCAGTGATTGCTTTGAATGGTGAAAAGGGCAAAATCCTCTCTGCTGTCATGCTTGCTGTGCCATGGCAGGCTCAGGCAGCCCCTTGGATGATGCATGCAGCCTCTCCTGGTTCTGTCACCTCCAGGTCTGGGCTTCAAGAGGTTTTACACCTTATTGCTGCTGCTGGCTTCTTCCTGTCACTGCCTTTGTGCACCATGCAAGTCACCCTCCTTCATGACTATAAAACCCTCTTCTCTGTCAATGGTTCCCTTTCCTTTTGTCTCCAGTAAGTCAAGCATCTCCACTTGGCAAGGTCTAGTGCTACTCCGCTGTTTCCCCAACATCTCGAAGTCTGCTTGCTCGGTTTGGTGTCATTAAAGAGCTTATTCCTGTTTAGTCACCACCTTCCTAGGGGGAATTTCTTTCCTGTGCAGGCTGGGTTTTGTGTTTCTCCCTCTTGTTCCTTTGTAACTCCCTGTGTGTTGCTGGGGAGTGTATCTTCTTTTGCTGTGTTACACTGGTGTTCCTGGGTGCTCTTTGCTAACCTGGGCTGACAACACCCTTCATGTTTCTCACTGTAGGGAGATGAAGATGATGAAAATGCCCGGCCTCTGGCTGAGTCGCTGCTCCTCGCTGTCACAGACCTGCTCTTCTGCCCTGATTTCACTGTGCAGAGCCACCGGAGGAGCACAGTGGTAGGTTGGATCATGGGGTTCTAAGAGGTAGATCAGCTGCATGGTGGGGGGTACCCTGGAACACCCCAAACTCTGCATGCAGGAAAACATGGAGTCATGGAGCTTGAGCCCACAGTGACTGGTATTGATCAACATTTTGGGTTCACTGTGGGGGGTTGTACCTTCTAAACCAGATGCTCTGAGATGAGATGAGTCTCAAATGGAGTGGCTGGCACCTACCTCTGCACTGTGGCTCGCCCCACAGGAACAGGGGGTTGTGCTGGCTAACAACCACTCTTCTGTTGTTGCCAGAGACCTTTAGCACTGTTGCTTTCCCTGGCAATTTAGTCCAGATAGGGCAGGAAGCAGCTGTTTGCCTACTCACAGGTGCTGTGATCTGAATGAGTAGATGGCCCCTGATGTGTCTTTCCACCTCCTCTTCCTCTTTACATCATTGCAGCAAAGACAGATACGTTCTGGTCCTTACAGTGACTGTCTTTGGAGGAGTTCCCTGAAGCAGGGATCTCTTACCACATGTGCTAAGGACAGATTCTGATGCATCTCCTTCCCTCCCTTCCCCCTTCCAATGACTCTCTGGTGTTTCTTGGAGGTCCAGTCTATAAACAGAAGTGGGCAGCCCTCCTTTTTGGTATAGCTATGAAGGAAATGAAAAATGAGCATTCTAAACCATGTGTATTTGATGACTGCAAGATCCCCTGGCAAACCTGAGTGCTGAATTCCTTGGTTGAGGTTTCTGGGTAGTAGAAATAGAGTTCAAATCTGTAACCTGGGGATGAAAGGGCAATTTTTCCCTGGGAGAGGTCCCCACTGCATGTGTGATTTCACCCTTGACAGCAGCCAGCCTGGTTTTCAAGGACTCTGGGCAGCTTGAATTAGACAATGAGATCAGGAATGCTTTATGTTCCTTGCTGTTACCTGCCTGCCTGCAGCCTCTGTAGTCTTTGCTTAGCTTCTTCCCTCTCTGGATCTGGTCTCACTGCAGGTTAAGAGCAGAGAGATGGGTACAGCCACATTGTATTCATGGCAGAACAACATGTGGCCCCAGAGACACAGTTCAGGGTGGATAGTTGCCAAAGCAGAGTTGAGAGGAAGAGTAAGAATGGGCAAAGGAGAGCTGGGACTGACCCCTGCTCTTCTGCTGTTTGTCACCCTACTGGAGTCAGCCCTGTAACTGTGACTGGGAAGTGGGGCTCCTTCTGGCATGCCAGTGCTGCATCTCTGTGTTTAACCACTTACTTGCAAAGGCTGAGCTCTTTGAAGACATCAGCACCTGCTTTTTGGGCCTGGGGATCTGCTGTAATGCTGGCTGGTAACCTGCTGTCTCCTCCTAGTGTTGCTGCTTAGTCACACACTGTAGAAGCAGGTTTGTGGATGTGATTCCATTTCTTCCCATGAAGCCAGTGCCTGTCAGGAGATGTACAAGATTTGGTTGTGGAGGGAGGTCTTGGGCACTCCAAGCTCAGCAAGAGTTGTTCTGAGGAGTTTGGTGAGGCACTTGGCAGCAGGTTTGCTCTGTAGGAAGTGAGTAGCAAGGCAGGAGAAGCCAGGGCTGTGGAAGCAGCTACAGTTGCTTCCCTGTCAGCAGTAGCTGCTGTCAACATGCTGGGTTTGTGGCAGTCATGGTTGGGTGGTAAGTGCATCTTGGTTGCCCTCAAGACCTGCTGTTCTGAGATCAGTGCCTTTGTGGAAAGGAGGGAGGTGATGCAGCGGGAACCAGTCACCATGATGTGGGTAAACTCAACATGATGTGCCCTGAGGTAGAGTTGAGGTGTCAAGCAGCACCCTGTGTGATGCTCTTGATCTGCAAAGGAGAAGCCCTGACCTGGGCTGTATTTGATGAGGTGAGGAGGAGAGGAGAAGGTGATGCATCCTGTAATGAGAACAGAACATACTTTGGATCCTTTGGCATTGGGCAACCCTTCCCAGTGGAGGTGGCTAGCACTGCACCTTAGCATGCTAGAGGAAGGACCTCACTTTGCATGGTGCTCAGTGCATGTTGAAGATGAGGCCCTCTGTCAGGGTTGCTCCCTGGGTGGTGCTGGTATGTACAGTCAGTGTCTGGATGCTTCTCTGCTGGTTTCTTTGGTACTGCTGGAGAGGGGCTGAGCTGCTTTGGGTACCACTAGTGCTGCCAGCTCTGGCTCTTGCCTTCTGTAGTCCAACCTCTTGTTTCTCCCCCAGGACACAGCAGAAGATATCCACTCCATTGACAGCTGTGAGTACATCTGGGAGGCAGGAGTGGGCTTTGCTCATTCTCCACAGCCTAACTACATCCATGACTTGAATAGGTAAGAGGGTCTGCAGAGGCAGAAGGGAAAGAAACTGGGTTTGTGAGAGGGCAATGTTGGGGAGATGGGCTCTCCTTGCCTCCTTGGGTGTCTGTGATTCCCAAGGGGCTTTCTGCTTGCTCTGAAAGGAGCTAACAGGACTGGCAACACAGGCAAAAAAGGCCAGCTGACCTTTTGAATAGCTTTGTGTAGTGTGATATGGGAGTCAGAATGTCTGCAGCAGGAACTGGCAGAACACTGCTGCTTTGAAAATGCCTAGCAGCTCTGTCCTGCATTTCCTTTTCATAAGGCAGCAATTCTGCTGAGCTTTGCACCAGTGACAGCATATTGCTTATGAAACGGAATAGGCTTAGCCCTCTGAAGTAGGAACTTTCTAGATGGATCTGAGCTTTCCTTATGTTCTGCTGGTGGTGCTTCCTGCACCCAGTCCCTGCTCCTGAATGGCTCCAGGCCTTGGCTTTTCTTCCCTTCTTTCAGGACAGAGCTACTTAAGCTGCTGCTGACCTGTTTCTCTGAGGCCATGTACCTGCCTCCCTCCTCGGACAGCAGCAACACCAACCCCTGGGTGCAGTTCTTCTGCTCTACAGAGAACAGGTGAGGGTGAAGAGCTGGAAACTGGGTGCCAGGGGAGAAATACCCTCAGATCTCTTCCATGGAGTGTGTTCATGATGGGGCACCACAGGACTTGCTACCCCCAGTGTAGAGGGGCTGTTGTCCTTTATCTTTGTCCCTATCTTATGTACATCCCATTATCATCTCTGCTTAGAGAGAATTGCTCCTCAGCAGCAAAAGGGGGGACTGAGCATGGTGCTCACTGGAGTTTGATGCAGCACCGATCCCTGCCCTGTGGGAAGCAGAGGATGCTGTTCCCTGCTGTAGACCTTGTTCCTTCGTGGCGCTGCTGGCGTGGCGCTGCTGGGGGCAGTGTCTGGTGCTGGGGGCGGATGGATGCTGCCCTCTAGTGACGTTGTCTCCTCTGGACTTCCAGCTCCTTAGGCGGTAGTTGCTCACCACGGAGCAGTCCTGGCTCAAAGCAGACAGTTTTGTCTTTCCAGAGCCTAAGAGAGCTTTGAAGTCCTTTCCTCTTTTCACATTGCTGTACAGGATTCCTCTGGGAAGTCACTCGGCCTTTCTTACCTCCCCTTTCCCCCTTGGATGTAGTCCAGGAGATCAGCCTGGAGCTGGAATGTCAGCTCTTGTCTCTGGCCCCTGTCATAGCTTAGAGAAGAAGACTGTTTTGTCATGACCCCAGACTGTCCCTCCCCAAGGCAGCACCTTTTGCTTCCTGCTTCTGCCTTCTCAGGATGTTTTCTGCCCCTCAGGCACGCGCTCCCCCTCTTCACCTCACTCCTGAATGTCGTCTGTGCCTATGATCCGGTGGGATATGGGATTCCCTACAACCACCTACTTTTCTCGGACTACCGCGAGCCCCTGGTGGAGGAGGCAGCCCAGGTGCTGATTGTCACTTTGGACTATGACAGCTCCACCAGTTCAAGTCCCACCGTGGATGGCACAACCACTGGCACGGCCATGGATGATGTGGATGTGAGTGACACTGGGAGCTGTGTCTGCTGCTCTCCCGAATTCCCTGTAGTGATCTTACACCAGCTTGTGTTGAATGTTGACCTTCAGGGCCCTGCACCGCTCCTCCCCTTGCAGGCTGCTGTCTCTGGTCCAGTCCTGCTTCTTTCCTGTAGGTCACTATGCAGCTGTACATGACTAAACCATTAGGCTTTGGTCACTAACTTGATCAGGAGCATATAAGTAAAAAGCCCCTGACTTTAGAGCTCCCCGAGGTGCTCTGCCTCCTAGCATTTAAAACGGGATCTTTCAGGGTAGAAAGCTGAAATGAGAGACATCAGTCCCCAGAGCCAGTGGTTACTTTGCCTTCCTGAGTAATCCTTGTTGCCAGTAAGTGTTTCACTCCTTTGCTTTGCACACAGCCTCCTGGACCAGACAATCTGTTTGTGAATTACCTCTCAAGGATACACCGAGAGGAGGTAACGTGCTCCTGTCCTGAGCTACTTCCTGGCTGATTTCATGATGGTTGCCTTAGCCCTGGGCTCACCACAGGCTCTCTCCTGGTCTCTTGGCAGGATTTCCAGTTCATCCTCAAAGGAGTGGCCCGCTTGTTATCAAACCCGCTGGTCCAGACCTACCTGCCAAACTCTGCCAAGAAGATCCAATTCCATCAGGAACTCCTCGTCCTCTTCTGGAAACTCTGTGACTTCAACAAGGTGTGGATCTGCTTCTTGCTCAGCTTTGCCCCACCTTGCCTGTTGCCCAGGGCCTGGTGAAGGGCTGTGGGCAGGCAGGTAGCAGTGACTCTGTGGTATTCTGGCCAGCAGCACTACTCCCTGCTGCATGGGGTAGGGGGGGTCTGGATAGAGGGACAGCTTATGAGAGAGCCTGAAGGTCAGTGCTTGACGCAAATGCTGGAGCAGGTGTTAGAATAACTACAAATAACACTGAATTTGAAGAGCTGGTGCATGCATCAGCCTTTCTAATGGTCCTGAGAGACCAGTTAGCTTGAGGCTACCTGTCCTGAGTCCTGCAGATGCTGCAGAATATCAAATGTGCTTATCATTGTTTGAAATCCTTCCCTTTCTTCCAGAAATTCCTCTTCTTTGTGCTGAAGAGCAGTGATGTTTTGGACATCCTTGTCCCAATCTTGTATTTTCTCAATGATGCCAGAGCAGACCAGTGTAAGTTGGTTATTTTCAGTATTTGGGATGATCTGTGCTTGACACTTGAGCTAGAATGTTTTTAAGATGCTTCCTCCCTACCAATTAGATGCAGTTGCATCTTAGGTTCAAGTTCTGAGTCTTCTACAGGCGTGGAGTGGTTCAGATAGCTGGGTTTTAGTGTCTAGAAGCAGCATGTGATCTAGGCCACAGCACAGGGAAGGGAGATCCTTAGCATGTTAGCTCATTTTGAGTCCTTGTCTTGAAAACTGTGTCCCTGAGAGAGAGAACTAAGGAATCTGCCCTCGCCTTGGGGATAAATTGTGCGTAATTCCATTACTGTGTAGTGGTAAGAAGAATTCAGACCTGTCTCACTACAGGAATGGGGTTACATCAACAGCATATGAAGAAAAGCATGGTTTATCCAAAACTCAACATTGTATTGGCCCCGTAGATGTGCTTGGGAAGGGCACTGGACCTGGCAGCGGGGGGAGCTCTGTATGGGGTGTCCCTCGTCAGGATGGTCTGCTCTGTGCAGTTTCTCTTTCAGTCCCATAGTGTTTCTCCCCTCTCCTCACTGCCTTCTGGCTTGAGGAGTCCACTGGCCTCACTGTGATGTGTTTTTACCTGCAGCACGAGTGGGCTTGATGCACATTGGGGTCTTTATCCTCCTGCTTCTCAGTGGGGAGCGTAACTTTGGGGTTCGGCTGAACAAGCCCTATTCTGTCCGAGTGCCTATGGACATCCCTGTCTTCACAGGAACACATGCAGATCTGCTCATCATAGTGAGTATAGCTCCAGCAGTTCTTTTCTATCCCTCCTAACTCCTGTTCCATACCTCCACAAATAACTGTCTTCTTTTCTCCTTCAATATACTCGTCCTTCCTAGAATGACAGCCCATTGAGCAGCTAGAAAGTGTGTGGGATGCATCCAAGCACTGGTGGGATCTTTGCATGTTGTTAACCTGGGGTGGTGTGCCTGGCAGGGTACAATTCCATCTGCATGAGATGATCCCAAAGAACAGGATCCCGGATAGCACTGGGCTGGTGTCTAAAGGACTCTGGGAGTGGAAGGAGTGGGATGGGTACATGGCCTCTGCCAGACTTGGTCGTGGTTGGGGAAGGCAGGAGATGTGACTGCATTGCTGGCTCTGTCCCAGAGGTGTGTGGAGCACATCTGTCAGAGTGGGAACGACTTGCTGATACCAAGCTCAACCCCACAGCTTTGGGTTTTGCAAGATTTCATTCAGCTTTCAGTCTGCAGTGCTGAGGGCCACAGTGCTGCCTACAAACAGCTGTGTTCTGCAGTACCAGCCTCAGGTGGCGGTACCCTCCTGTCATGTTAGTGCTTGTTTGCCAGAGAAGAACCTCTCAGCAGCTTCTGATAAACCTCCAAAAGGAGATTCCCATTACAAAGACTTGGGAGAAATGTGCCTATCATGTGTTCTGCTATTACATTCTATTAATCTCATCATCTCTGTATTCTCATTATGCTTGCAGACCTTCTCAGCTAGAGGTGGGAAGGCCAAGATTGGGAATGTCAAATCTTCCATGTCTGAGGGTATAGTTAAGAAAAATAGGAGAAATATTTGAGTTAGAAGTTTGCACTGAATTCAAATGTGAAGTGATTGGTTCTGTGGCATTTCAAGCAGCTATTGTTGGGGTTCAGAGTCACAATCCATTGGAGGTGAAGATGTTTCTTACTTCCCGGTGGTTAATTTCTGTCTCGGGCTGCCTGTGTGTTTTGGAATAGCTGACAGTCAGTTTCTGTTTGCAGTGTTGTAGAGCCCTGATCACATCCCCAAAGGATTCCTTGTAAATGAAAGCCTGTACTCCTGCAGCACGAGTCTGCAGTGAGAGCAGCATTCCCCACCTGTGTAATTGTGGCATGTGCAGGGCCCTGCCTAGGCAGGAATGGTGTCAGGAAGTGATTAGTGTGGGGGTGGCACTGGTTTTGGTTGAGAGGGTGCTTTCAGTAAGTACCACCTTGCCCAAGTGCTCTTTCCTTGCCATAGGTCTTTCACAAGATCATCACCAGCGGGCACCAGCGGCTGCAGCCTCTCTTCGACTGCCTGCTCACCATCGTGGTGAACGGTGAGTGCTGAGTGTGGAACCACAGCCCACAGAGGGGACACCCTCGCTCCCTGTGCTCCTACCTGTGCCCACTAAGACTGACCAGAGTCAGAGGCTGCTGCTGGAAGTGATCCTTTCTAGTCTGACCTGCCTGCAGGGTATTGCCTGAGCTCAGATGGGGCAGAGGGTGGGACAGCAGCGACCCTGGAGCCCCTCTGGGGTGGCAAAAGGGCATTTGCCAGTAGGTCTGGGGAGGGTGGTTGGTAGTGCCACCCCTTTCCAGCAGGGAGTGCCACCTCCCCGTGGTGGCAGTGGCTTCCTTGGGCTTAGCCAGTGGCTCCAGTAGTGCCAGCTTTTCAGGAGGTGTGCCAGCAGTGATGTTACTGGTGTAAAACTACCCAAGGGCCTCTAAAAGCAGAAATGTTTGCTTTCACTAGGGTTTTATATTTACTTTTCTGTTTGGAAATGTTTCTGTGGAACCCTGTTGAGCTCAGCTGTTCCATGGGGCTTTCCCAGAAGTGCAAGGTGGGAAGGTGGTAAGAGCAGCACTTCTAGTGGTGTATTTATGTGAATAAATGCACCTCAGTTCTCCCTCCAGTTTTCATTTGTTTGCCTTTACAGTGTCTCCGTACCTGAAGTCTCTCTCCATGGTGGCTGCTAACAAGTTACTGCATCTGCTGGAGGCTTTTTCCACCACCTGGTTCCTGTTCTCTGCTGTCCAGAACCACCACCTTGTTTTCTTCTTGCTGGAAGTCTTCAACAATATCATTCAGTACCAGTTTGATGGTAAGAGACTGACTGCTGTATGTAGTTGGTTTGCACTAGTTTAGTCCAAGAGAACATGAGACAGAAGCTCGGAGAAAGTCCACAAAGATGAGAGAAGGGGATAAATGTAGAAACCAGCTACATGGAGACTTGCCTGGGATTGAGAAGTTGGGTTAGTAAGTAATCAGTGTTGGGTCCAGACAGATGAGGTTAGAGCAAAATGAGATGGCAGCTTGTGATCAGCATAACCTCAGCCTCCTCCAGACCAGAAGATGAGCTGGGTAGAGAGGAAGAAGAAGGGAAAGTGAGTGTGCAATGCTTAACTTGTGACTGGCTGTGAAACTGCTTGTGTTGCTCAGCCATGTCAGTGAGGGGACAAAACAACTTCCATGTACTTGAACATTCAGAAGTGCCTCTGGGTTCTGCTCTCTGCTCTGTCAGGTCACTGGAGCTGAAGAACAGCCCCATCCAGACAAAGTTCTGGCACTTGCTACCTTTCCAGGAAAATCCCTTATGCTTTCCCTCTAAACTGCATGATAGTCTTTTCCCTCAAAGAAATAATAATGAGGTCTTTTAAACTGATCAACTTTTCATGTTTGCTTTAAAACTGCAAATCAAGAGTGGCCGTTTTGCTGCCCGAATCTTCCCTTGGAATCTTGCAAGTGGTGGCTGTCAGACCCTAAACCAGTCTTTGTGGCTGTTTTGTGTTTTAGGGGATGGTTTCGTTCTGTTCTCTGCCACCTTGCAGCCAGTAAGAATTCTGGTCTTTTGGCTTTGCTATTTCAAGCCTATTTCTCTTCAAATGCAATACTTCTGGTGTGTTTTGTGAACTCTTTTGAAGACGAAGGGATAAGAGGATATTGAGCTCTGCTTCCTTCCTCGTGCCGTTGCCTTCGTGGGCAGAAGCCATGGCTCTGTGAACTTGCAGGGTCTCCAGAAGCACGCTTCGTGTCCCCAGTGAGCTGTGCTTCATTGGCAGAGCTCTTTGAGCCTGATTTCTCTGCTCATTTTGTTGCTTTGATTGCCAGGAAACTCCAATCTGGTCTATGCTGTGATCCGGAAGCGGAACGTGTTTCACCAGTTGGCCAACCTGCCCACGGACTCACAGGCCATCCAGAAGGGGCTGCAGCGCAGGAAGAGAACCCCAGAGCCTATTTCTCGCACCAACTCCCAGGAAGGGGTCTCCATGGAAGGCTCCCGTCCTGCTGCCCCTGCAGAGCCAGGGACACTGAAGACAAGTTTGGTGGCTACTCCAGGTCAGCTTTAGTTTACCTTTGTAACAGGAGAGAGGTTTGTTTTCCCTGTGAGATACGGTGTGGACTCACCCTTTCACTGGGTGTGGGAGAGATTAAGAGTTTACATCTCGGAATGACTTACTGCCTTTCAGTCTGAGTTTCACATCAGTTTGCCCAAGCTGATCACAAACAAGTCAAAGTAAACTGCCTTGAGCTTCTCTCTTCTCAAACTTCATGTGCACGTGGCCATTTGTCCTTACCTTGACCTTTTGCCTCAGTTTAACTATATCCATGAGAACCTGTGCTCCTCTTTAATCTGGGAGCATTTTCTTAGGGACAAATGGACTCCTTTGGGACGGTGAAATCAAGGCTGGATCTTGCTTTTCCTGTTGAAAGGAGAGGGATTTGATTGTCAGCAGATACATAGGGTGTCTGTGCATGGTAGCACAAAGAGCCCCCTGCTTCTAAGTGTATTTAATTCACTTGTGTTCCTGAGCTTTGTCTCTTTTGAACATAGGAATTGACAAACTGACAGAGAAGTCGCAGGTCTCAGAGGATGGGACCATGCGGTCACTGGAGCCTGAGTCTTTACAATCATCACCAGGGGGTAACCCCCCCTCAGCTGTGAGCGATGGGGAGCTCTGGAGCGGGGTAAGGCTGTGGACAATCCGGTGTGCAGGGAAGGGCTGGGGTGTGACATGAACTAAATGGGGGACTGGGAAGGAGAGGTCCGGCTGGCCCTTTGAATCAAAGCATCCTATTAGAGGCAATATGCTCGTGTGCACTGTGCTGGAAAACACCCTGGTTCTGAAGTCCTGTTGCATCGTGGTGGGTGTTTCAAATGTGTGCTAGTGACACAAGAGCTAGGACACCAGAGGACTGAGCTTTCACCACCATGAAAGCTACTGAGAGAGCAGCAAGTGCATCATTGCAAAGGGATGTCTTCCTGGTCTGGAGGCTTTTAGCTCAGATTCTGGCTGCTGCTGCATTTTCCTCTCCCTTCTTTCTGGGGTCTACTGGCTGGCTGCTGTTGTGAACAACGTGTTCCCATGAGGGCTTGGCTGAGGTGCTGTTCTCAGAGTGGTGGCTGCTTGGCCATGTAGATGGGACAGAGGCTTTGTGGTCTGTGAATGAAGGCTGTGCTGGCTCTGGTGGCAATGTCAACTTCCTGGCATTTGATAGCTTTCCCCGTCAAGAGCTATAAACCAACCACCTTCCCATTTCAGTGGAGCAGCAGTGTCTTTACTGTGAGGGTGCTGAGGCGCTGGCACAGGGTGCCCAGAGAAGCTGTGGCTGCCCCATCCCTGGCAGTGTTCAAGGCCAGGTTGGACACAGGGGCTTGGAGCAACCTGCTCTAGTGGACAGTGTCCCTGCCCATGGCAGGGGTTGGAGCTGGAGGAGCTTTAAGGTCCCTTCCAACCCAGACTGGTCTGTTACTCTATGATCTGCTGTGGGGAGAATCATCACTGTTATCACATGGTGCTTCAGGCAGCACACTGCTGTCTCCAGGGCTTGTGGTATTTCAGACTATCTGAACATTGTCTTCCCTCTGTGCCCCAACCTGGTTCTTTAATATTAATGAATAAAAGACAGTGGATAAATCTTAGGATACCCACGCTTATGACTGATTTACTTTCCTTCCTTTATCTGCTCTAATGTTCTCCTGTTATCAGCTGTATCCATGTCAAAAGTGTCTTGTGAAATGTTCAGCAGCTTCATATTTCCATGTAATTCCATCTTACTTCTCCTAAATGTGCCAGCTGGCTGCAGCTGGGAGGGGACAAAGGCTGTGGGAGAGGGAGGAGGAAAGAGGAAGGAGATGGGGTCATCTGCAGGAAATCAGAGGGTTTTATGTCTTTATGAATTTTATTTTTAGAAGCTTGATGAGGACACAACACTGAAACTGAACAGGCTGAATGATAAGGGTTGTAGCTGCAAACACTGCAAAGTGATATTGCTGTTTAGCTTTTGAATGAACCGAATCCCTGAATATCCCAGGACCAGTTTTACTTACCCTTCTTGGCCTTTCCTGGTCACAGATGAAGGCCCATGGTCAACAAGATGTCTTAAGCACACAATTATGTTGTTATTAAGTGAGATCTTGACTGAGAACTTGAAGAAAGGTTTTCTTCCTCCCATGAAACATAATCACAGGTCATTACAGCTCTATCCAGCTTGAACTGTTTCCCAGTCAGAAAAGGACTGGTACAGCACTGCCAGCTTCCAGTGGATTGCAGCACAGCTCTGTCCCAAGCCTGCTGTGCCTGGTTGCAAAGGTGATGTATGAATGAAGCCATGCATGTGGAGGTGCAGGATGGCTGTGGGAGGAAGTGCTGTTCCCATTTGTTTTGTGGAAAGGTCAGCTCTAAGACTACATCACTTAGTAGTAATGAATGGTTCAGGGTGCATTGCAAAAGAAAAAAGCCTCTCCATTTTTACATCATGCAGAGATTAATAGAGATTTGCAAAGGTTATTTCCTTCCTTCCCACCATGAATATGGAAAGCCAGGGTGCTACTGTATAAGAGAAATGAAAACAGATTGATGGGAAGAAGAAGAATGAGAGAATTGTGTCTTGGACTTTTGGCCAGAGCTTTCCAAAAAGTACCTAGTGATGGTGATCATGTTTTGGGGTGTGAATGTGTTGTTCCTTAAGGGGCAGGAGTTGTTAGGTAGGAGTTTCTGACAGCCCACCATTGGGAAAACCCACTTTAAGTGCCAGGATGGGCACTAGAGATGCTCAGTAGACAGAGCTCTGTCAAGCTGTGGTCTTCAGCTGTTCAATGTCTGTGCTATAAGAAAGCACCGTGCCTGGACAGGCTTTGTCAGTCCTGTTTCAACTTCCCACTGTGGATTGTTTCAACAGAGTGTCAGCAGCTGTGGCCTTGCCAGAGGGTCCTGCAACACAACCCCATCAAATGGCCACTCTCTGGGTCAAAGCACGTGGTTTTGGTGATGGAAGGTCTGGTGGGTTTGATCTGTTCTATGGACAGGCCGAGCTGTGTTTCCCAGCACTGCTCTGGGAAAGCTGGGGGGAAGTCAGCAGGCAACAGGAGTA